CAGGACAATGAACTAATAAGACCCTTTGATTCATAAAAAAATAAATAGCAACGCGCACCAGACTAGCCGGTAAATCATGTGTTTTACACAGTTCCGTCCTGCTAACGTTTGCCTGCTAAGAATTTTCACTGTTTTATACTTTGGTCTGTGAAAAAATAGTTGAGATGCTGTTCGATTCCTAAAAAAAGCGAAATTTCCCATTAAAAATTTCATGCACCGGTACGTGGTACGTAAATGCACGTGAAAGCTGAATTCAGAACTTCGAAGGGTGCATAACGTCCGAAAATTTCGACTCCCCACTTCTCTGGCTTCCGAGTAACTTTCATGCCAAAACATTCGTGTGACCGTACTTGGGTACTCCTCAAAAGTGGGAGCTAAATATGAATTTGTTAGGCCCTTGTACAGACAAAAAATATCCCCCTGAAGTTTCCAGCCTCCAAGCTATTCTCGCTCCCGAGATAACAGTTCCTCCCGACAAAACTTAGATGGAGCCGTACGTGGGATTCAGTCCTGCGTGAAAGCTGAGTTCAAATTTGTGGGGTCGTACGTAAGCAGGGGACATTACCCAAAAGTTTCAGATTTCCAGCCTTAGGGGTTCCAGAGATGATAATTTCGTTGCACAACTTTCACAGGTCCATAGGCGCCATCCAGGCGAACAAGAAGGATGGATTCAAACATATGGTGTCGCACGTAAACAGAGGGACATCCCCCTGAAATACCAGTCCCCTAGCTCCCATGGTTCCCGAGGTAGTAATTTCCCCGCCAAAACTTTCGCGAGGTTGTGCGCAGCACTCGACGGTACATCAAGGCCACATTTAAACCTGTGGGATCGTACGTAGACGAGAAAAATTTCGCTAATACTTCAGTTTCCTAATTTTCGTGGTTCTCGACTTGGAAATGCGGGACGAAATGCATACGGACACACACAACCACGTACACGGGCATGACAATATGCGCTTTGTGTTGCTGTAACGTAGCGCAGAATATATTAAAAAAATCGACTAATGAGGTTCTTCGGCTAGAAAAGAAGAAAAAATTCTTCGGCTCTCTGTCTATACATTATTTCACTGAAACATAGATATTTTAAAAAGTTTACCCTGACAACATCCATTCGCACATCACTGCAGTCAGTGTAATACGAATTCAGGATAGTACTCCAATAAACTTGTATTATTGCCGAAGCCAGTCCCGAATTCGCTAGCTCCATTTCCTTCAAATCGTGCTCATCCTTCGTCGACTGCCCTAAACGTCCGAAAACCGTGTACTCACATATCAATAAAAACCTTTTTTACACGTTCAGGAATATTCGAAGGTTTAATACCGCATAATACCAACATGCCTATGAATTTGAATAAGATGATGGCATGAGTGTGTCTAAAGGCGCAGAAACAATCACCTGTTGGTACGGATGAATTAAGCGATTCTTAAAATTTCAGCTCCCAATGAACACAGTGATACGAAATGCGCAACAAGACAAACCGTCAGAAAACGAGTTATCTCAAAACAATTGGACTTGTAACCGCTGGATATCAGGGAACTTCAACGGAAGGAAAGCTTACATTCTGTGTTGTCCTTTACCATTTTTGTTTCTTGCACATTTAGAAACAATTCCAAATTTCGGAGTGCCGCTTTTTTCAGGCGCCTATACGATTCCAAATCAGTTCGGAGCAAATTGATGTACATTCTACGTACCTCCTCTCGCGTCAAATATTGCGTATATCGAGCTGTGAATTGTCCTGCAACAGAGGAAATAAATAAATTTCTTTCACCCATTAGCGGCTTCCATGGCTGAGCATAAATCACATGCACTGAGATAAAAAATAAGACACTATCAAATGCATAATGCGACTAATGCCACCTCAAAACAGTTCACTGATATTTCATGGTCAAATTTTTAATGCATTCGAATGAAGACAAGAAAACGATATTTGAGGGACGAAGTTTGGAGTGATAGGGAAGAATGCGGAATTTTGAGTTAAGGCTGAAAAAAATTTAACAAGCTGAGGAATTTGGGGCAAAATGTATGGCAGCTGATCAAAAATATCAAGTTACCCTTAAAGTAAATAGGCCTAGGCACTATTATAAGTAACACGCAAAAAAAAAATCTGAAGGAGAAAATGTAAGTATGCACAGCAATGTACTGATGTGTCTAGTACGCAGAACGTACATCAGAAAATTTACTGTCAGAATGATGGTGAGAAAAAATTATCATCGTAATAAAACAGCGGCATGTAACAAGACTCACCAATGGCATCGAGCGCCTTAGATCGAACGCCGCCGTCACGATTTTGACAGAATTTGAAGAGTATCTGGAAGATCAGTTCCACAAATTCACCGTGATCGGCATGTGCTGCAGACGTTAGAAGCTGTGATGCATTGACTGTTGTAAACTGTTTCATATCATTTCGATCCATCACATTTGGCAGATCAAAGTAACGTGATACGAAGCCAATTATTAATAATGACCTAAATTATTATACATTAAATTTCTATTATCACTAATTTTGAAACGAAAATAGCAATATAGCATATCTTCACACCTCTTCTGAACCGACTCTGCAAGCAAAAACGCAATTATTTAGTAAAGAAATCAAACTGCTGAAATGCTGTATGCCAGTAATGAGTTGCCGGACAGGACCATATTTCTTACGGATTATCTGGAAAAACTGAATGCTCCTGATAGTGCAATTTCGAATGAAGAAAAAAGATTTTTCTTAAAAAAAAAAACAAAAATGTAAAAAAAGGCCCATGAAAAATCGTAAAAAAAGACGAGGGAAAAGAAGAGGGAAGGCAGAGATGAGCGGAACAGGTGATCAAGCTATGGAAAAAAAGTACAGCACGTGACCAACTAGAAAGTGCTACAGTAACAATCATGCAAGTGGAAGAAACAAGTAAAAAAGGGGAAGTTGTTCTGATCAAGGGAGCATCCATTTTCGCCGGTGCACCTTTTGTTGAAGGCCAGGTAGATATAAATGAATAATTGGCCAACGCACGGACTGTCTGTGCGATGATGCGTCTTTTGCATAATTCCCCGCAGTTTTTTTCGCTACCGGCATCGGTATTTTCGGCAGATCCTTCTGGCTAAACAAATTAAAACTGGCCGCCAATACTGGCAGGAAACACCCCCTTAAAATTTCAGCTTTCCAGTTTTCCTGGCTCCTGAGTTAGCAATTTACTGGAAAAAATTTTTCACGAGCCTGTACGCGGGTACCACGCTTACCCGGGAGTTGGGTTTGAGCTCATTAGTATCTACTTGGACGGGGAACATTTCGATAAAATTTCAGCTCTCTAGCTTTTCTGGTTCACGAGTTAGCGACTTACTCGTAAAAAATTTTGGCGGGCTCGTACGCGGATACCGCGCTTACCCGGGATTTGGTTTTGAGCTCATTAGCACTTACTTGGACGGGGAACATTTCCACAAAATTTCAGCTCTCCAGCTTTTCTGGTTCGCGAGTTAGCAGCTTACCCGTAAGAAACTTTGGCAGGCTCTTACGTGGATACTACGCAGGAAAGACCGCCCATTTTGGGGATGGAAGCCCGTACGTGCATGTAGACTAAGTCCCCAAAGTTTCAGCTCTGTTGCTTTTGTAGGTCCCGAGATGAAAAATCGGTACAGAGGCCCTGCGCACACACAGACACACAAACACACACACACAGACAACCTCAAGTCAATATGCGTTTTTCGCATAGCATAGCTGCAAAAAACGCACAAAAATGCGTTTCCTAAAGAATAATGTTACTAGTGCTAAAGAGGAAAAACATTCACAATTGTTTCCCACAGCTCCTACTCATGATTCGACCTCAACTGAAAGGGAATAAGAAAGTGTTTTTCTTTTATTTCTGGAGACTCTGCTTAGATTACTCGACAATCGACACGATACGAATGTGAGGACCGCTAAGCGATGCAGCAGTGATTAAATGAACTGGAAAAATCGTTACATGCATACTCAGAGAATCACCACACAGTAAGATGTAGCTGACACAAATGTCCCAAATATGTTTGCCCTAATTTACAAAAAACTCACCGATCTACCAATGGTTTTTCTTGCTCGTTGAAGGCGCTTCCATTCCTCATATTGTTCATTGCCTTGAGAAGAAAATCTGCAAAACAGAACCAAGCAACATTTTTTAGTGATTCAATGAAATTAATGCCGAAAATCGACTGTTGGCGTCCATCTCACGATATGAAAACTACAGACGTGCAAAGCACATACGTGCTTCTCAGTATGCAGCTTCACAATGACAGTTTAGGCAACCCCAGTAATGACGCTACGACAAACGCAGCAAGCAAAAACGCAAACCCAAAGCATCGTTTTAACCAGATCTGCAATTTCAGACCAAGCACTTCATTGAACTGTTAGCACGGCACTCTAACTCATACCAAAAACAGCATCGGCAGCGGTAGCACTAGGAGGTATGCAAGACTTTCAAACTTTTGAAAACTAACACCTAACTGGCTTCTAAATCTGGTTTCAAAGACAAAAACGAATGAAGTAATGTCAAAAATGGACAAAAAATACCAAAAATGTGCACAGTTAACTGCAATCGATTCTAAAAATAAACAAAATTCCCAAAAGACAAATCAGTGCTGAGGATCTCATGTGACCGATGTTAATTAGATACTCGCATACACCGAACAGGCCATTCTCTCCTAAGGCGTACACTTCCAGTTACTGTTCACCGCCTGCTTAATGCGCCCCAAAATAAATTATGAACAAAAAATCACCAAGATATGCAGTGAATTTTTGGATGAGAACTGGACAACGCCTTCGCCATTTGTTAAAGATCGCTGCACAACACGAGATGGACGGGCAGACAACCGATACCGTGCCGTCATTGACCAATTTGTACAGACTCTGATCCACGCCGCTCAAAAACGTTTCCGACGGATGATCCATCACGGGCACTACTCGCTCCAGAATATTTATTACCTAAAAAAAAAAAAAAATGCGAGAATGAAAACCAGATACTTTAAATATTGTATTATGTACATCGAAATTTTTTGATTTTTTCTTATCTCTAACTGTATTTGTTATTTCTTTTTTGATTTATTCTGGTTTTTCTTATATTTAATTTCTTTTCCTTATAACAGCAAAAAGAAATATTCGGGCGGCTTTCGTTAAGATACAAGGGAAAAACAGAGACGACGGGCAAAACTAAAGATATGCAGTCTAAGAAACAACGTACTAGCTGCTCATAGTGTTTCGATTTATGCCTCAGCTTCAAAAGTCTCGAGTTCTTTCGCTCTCATCCTTCTCTTGCTGCCCTCATTTTCAGCAATTCTTTTGTATCATTATCGCAAACAAAGATCACTTGTCCCGGATGCGAAGAAGGAGATGCACATACATTGAACAGGCGAGAGGCACTCATGGTGTGCAGCTCAGAACTGGACAGGCTGACAGATGCTGTGTCCAGAGGGTAGGAGCATCCAAGTAACATCAAAGCACGGAATATCACACCGCCTGTGCATGCAGTCTTGGTATTATTTATTTCTTCTGTAAGTAAATTTACCTGCTCCACAATCGGCCTTTCCACTGATTCCTTTTTGCTCGCATCCAAGGAAAGATATGGTTGTAACGTCTCCACATGCCTTACGAGCAGCTCTGGCTTTGTTTTACTGAACAACAGCAGTGTGTCCATGCACGCCAGCAACTGTTTGTGATGCTCCGTCTGCTTCTCCACTGCCTCTCTCGATGTGACGCCGTCTTCTTTACAGGTATTGCTACCCTTCGTTGCTGCTTTACTACCTAAAATACTACCACACACGCTAATTTGGAAAGAACAAAAAATAAAGAAACAAACTATACACAAAATAAGACATCGCAAAATAGTTAAGGCAGCCAACTACGGCTAAAGAGGCAAGAAACACTACATCCTGTAAATCCCATCTGAGACAGCGTCGCTACGTCTGCATTTATGCGACTGAGAACATTTCCCAACATTAGACTTCTTCATAAGGGTATTAATTTCAGCAAATTCCCGTTTTTATGTAAAATTAACTGTTCCTAAGCTGATTTATGCAATTTAGCGCAATGAAATACTCCAAAAACGATTTCTATTTTTGTAATAATTTTAGTCCACTGATTTCAGCTGTGTCAGTCAAGTTTAATTTCATTCCATTCTTTGTGAAATATCACTGTACACTTGATTTCTCAAATCCTTCTCAAGACAAGTGGAATTTCTTGTACCCTTTAAGATAAAGGAAAAGGGGGCGTGGAAAAACAATGGTTTTCCATTTTCTTATCCCGTTAAAGTCTGTTAACGGTTTTTCAGCGCCTAATTAGCCAAAAAATGCGAGGATGAAAGTCCTTGCATGACTAATTACCCGCTTAAAAAAACGAAGTACGAAAGGCTAATTATTCTTGAGAAAAGTTCCACATCACAAAAATTGCGTTCGATAGTAAGAAAATGATACCGCAGAAATTCATTTCTTTTAATAAAAACTACTCTTACCCGAGGCCATTATAGAATCAAGCGACAGAACATTGTCGACAAGAGTGTCTACAATTTGTCGAGATGCAACCAGAACAGCGCGGTCATTATTTTTATAAAGCAAATTCAGGAATTGTTCAAAATACCGAATCTTCTCACCACAAATCTGCATGACATTTGTCACCGTGAGCACCTGAAACAAATTTGCCAGTCCTAAAGTTCCGGCTAAAATCTGAAGCATTCCCCTTACTAAGTACATAAATCAATAAGTGAGATTAGTCCCTGACCTAAATAATGACATAAAGACACAATACTGGTCTTCTCGACCATATGATTCTGGTCTACTTGCAAAATGAAAAGAATCAAAATTTCAAACAAATAGCTTGCTTCGTATTAAAATAGCCCAGAAAAAAATATAGCAAAAGCTCATAAAATCAGTGGAAAAGTCTTATGTGAATAAACACTAAACAAGCAAAAAGTTATGAAAATAAAAGAAATCTCACTGCTTGCTCAGCGCTGCATCGAGGTTAATCTGCTTAATTCGTTTCAGGGCAGACCACAAACGAGTGCGAGGAATATATGCCCCATGCTTACAGGCATATAGTATCGGGTATATATTCCTCACTCTCGAAACAAACCCAAACTGTCACCTTCGAATTTCATCCCAACCCATCCTTCGCAAATACTTCCCCTCGTCACTAGTTTATTCCCTTCTCACAACAAATTTCGAGATGTGTCTGAACAATCCACTTTCAGCTCTTTTTAACTCAACAAATCTTTCGAAATTTCATTCTTTTGTTTGCGTTTGAAGTAACCAAAAGTTACCTTATTGACCAGCTGCGCACAATCACGTTCACGAACTGGTTGAAACAGCAATATCTGTAACGTTTCAACAGCAAGCTTCCTCACGCCTTCTTCATCACTAATTCGACCGATCACTGCTACCAAAATTTCTGGGACCTTTTCGTAGCTCGGAATTTGTTCGCAAATCTCACGCATTATTCGGATCACACGTTTGCGAACTGCCACTCCACTATCCTGAATATGGCTTACCACTACCCAGCAGCCAGAAAAAAAAAAAAACAACAGCAGAAAAAGCATCCTGGCACGATGAACAAGGAAATAAAAAAGCGGTATTTACTTCGAGAAGAGATGGTTTTGACAACGCTTTTAGCAAAAACAGCTAGTGCAACCTTAAAAAATTCATGCGTTTTTTCGTTGTGAGCTTGGATGATTAAACCAGCTGGTAAAAACTAGTTAAGCGAACATTTGAAAATCGCAAAAAATAAGGCATCTGTATGTCATATTTTGCTGGCCAAGACCACTAACATGATGAATTTCGTGTGCGCCCCTCCAGAAATGCGTAAGTGTATCTAGCTTCAATTAGTTGTATTGCATCACAGTATACTTGCATACCATATCTTCAGCTTAATAAAGATGCTGGGGCAAAAACTGCACCATCCAATGGACGAAATTCCGACGAATTGACGTTGCTTTCAGAAATAATGTTACAGGTGTAAACTGCCTATTAAAAGATAATAATAACCATTATGCGTTGAATTAATATCGGATAGTACTGAGGCACGTAATCTGGCTTTGCAATCAAATATTTCCCAATAAGCTCGATGGTTGCTTCACGAACTGCCGCATTCGGATCCAGCATTCGCGCTTGCACCGCCTGGCGTACTTCATGCTACAAACATGCATAAACTATGCTTTAAGTAACAAAGGAAAAGCAGATTGATACAATAGTGCTGAAACCGTTGATACTTCACTGATATCGACGGCTCCACGCAAACAGTCTTGGTAATTCCTGTTTGAGACACGCATCAAATCGACAAGGATTATCTGAGTAACAGGGATCAGCGGATAAACGTCAAAAAAGCTCAAAATCAGTTCACTCAAAGAAGTAACAAAGCTGCTCTGCCTTCCTATCAAATATGAATAACTGTTGCAATGCCTCACGATATTTTTCTCAAATTTCGATAATTACTTCACACATTAGACATGTATTGCCCAAATACTGTAGCGCACCTTCGCACACTTTTAAAAAAACTAGCACTTTCTTTGTGCTTTTTTGTGACATGGCTAAAAAAAATCTGGCTTTAAGCATCAGCTTTTTTCATAAAAATTTTCAGGCTCTTACAGAAGTAATTTGAACGACGACAATTGATTTTCTCAACACCAAATTAACACAAAGAAATGTCGATGGCATAATAAAAAAAACTGCTGCTACGAACTATATATGAGTGTCATGTTTAAGCTAGTCACCAAATGCTGCTAAATATATTTGCAGTCGTTGACTGTTTCGGAGAAAAATGTCATCTTGTCTCCGCTCTTAGTTAAAAAAAAAAAAAAACAAACACACCATATAATATTAAAAAGCAGAGTTTAACGTAGAAGAAAGCGGAAATAGCTGCAAAGAACTGAAAATCATCGCAGTTCAGATGGGTCTACAGAAGCACTTGACGAAAGGTTGCCACGTTTCAGCAAACTGAGCGCCCGGGAAATCTTGAAAACAAGTTTCCCACACTGGTTCGCAAGAAAAAAGCCATCCTCCAATCCACAGCAGCCTTTTAATTCACTGTACTACCAGTCGCAGACGCAGATCAGGAAAGAAGGAA